GAAATATGCCACTCAGTAAGTAAATCTTATGTTTCACTCTATTGATTTTTACTCATTCTAATTATATGATGCTTATCTCTTTTTATAGAGTTCAAGGAAGTAGTGGTAGAGTTTATACTACCGCCTTATTAATAATATCAGTGAGCGGTATGTGTTTACCACCGTACATCATATACAAATCTCAAAGATTATATACTCGTTGGTGTCCAAAAAACGTAATGAAAGGTGTAATTTACAATAGTACTAAATCCGGATGGACAGATGAGAACTGTTTCTTCGATTACCTGCAAAAGATGTTCATACCGAATACCAAAGATTTACCAAGACCATTACTATTAATTTTCGATGGTCATTACTCTCATTTATCAATTAAGGTCGCACGTTTGGCCATTGAAAACAACATACACCTTCTATGTTTACCAAATCATTCAACTCATCTCTTACAACCCTTGGACGTTTACACCTTAAAGTACGTCAAGCAACAGTGGAAACAACTGCTTTGGGAACGAAATAAAAGAACGTCAAAATCTATGGAGAAACACGAATTTGTGCAGCTATACTCTCAACTTTATGATTTTGCACTTATACCTGCACATTACTCGACAGCTTTTGCTAGATCGGGCATTTGCCCATATGATCCATGTGCTATTAAAAATCGTAGAATAATCAAAAATAATTTATCAACAACAGTATCATCATCAAAACAATCTATTCAAACATTATCAAATGAATTAGATTCATCACTACGATCGAATAATGAATCAATAATTCAACGAAATAGACTAGCTCGATCAAATTAAGCTCCAAATTTAAATATTGGTAAATTTTAAACTGAGTTTCTCAATACTATTTTTTTGTCTTGTTATTATAGATCGTTCAACATCAACAACAAATTCTCAATTTGAAACAAATCCTACACATATTGATACTGATTTTTCAATTCATGATACAACAGCAAATACATATAAAGTACTAGATAAAGTTTTAAATGCAACGAATCCTTTGGAATCAACAACTTTAAGTCATGAAAAACCTTCCACCTCAATAACGATGACAAGTCCTACTGAACACATTCATTTATCTTCATCAAATTTATCTTTTAATTCAACTTCTTCATCTGCTGCATCAACAGATTCAAGTATTCATTTGATTCATCTATAGAGATACCATTTTCAAAAGCATTTCTTAAAATTAATTTTCGGTTCTACTAGATCGTTGTTAGCTGTGGAAGCTATAGTAGCGAAATATTTATCACCAAAACAATCAGCAACATTAAAAACAGCCAAACGTCTTATTAGAAGACCTTATGGTGTTAGTATTACAGATTTAGATGTTTATGGTGAAAGTATCATGAAGCAACCTAAAAAGAACAACAACAAGTTGGTGAATAAAAAATCAACAACTAGTGGTGAAAATGAATCTTCAAAAAAATGTTCAAATAAAACTAAATCTTTAACAGAAAAATTACCTGATGTTCATAATTCACAAATGATTTCTTCTATGAACGACTCTTCATCTCAACGATGCCATTATGATTATAATGTTCTTGATTCTTCATTATCAACTGGTTTACAAAATCCTACATGTCATTTATTGTTCTCTAATTCGACTTCACATGTACTACGACCATTACAGAACGTATCAACATCTATCTGTGGCAATTGCCATCAATATATTAATATATTATATGTAGGAGGTTACTGTTCTCAATGCAACGTACCAATATGCTGGTCATGTTGGTCAAGTGAAAACTTACATTTATTATCATTGTATTAATTGTTGTTCTTTCAATTATGCAAATTCGATAATCTAAACTAAGTTATTTGTTATATTTATAATGTTGTTTTTTTCTTAATGGGCTATTTATCTCATGATCTTTTTATTTGATTTATCTCCTACTCATCTTGCTAGTTTTAAAGAAATTCAATGTGTATGAAAACTTGTAAAACTTTGTGAAATAAAAATATTACTCGATTTTGAAAAATTAGTTTATGATAAGTTTAAAGTATCTCACTAAAAACGTGTTCATGAATAAACATAATTTCATGTATGTTGTATAATAATCTTATTGTTTATTTTAATGACAAATAATTTCGTATTGGACTGCTCCGAATTTTATTCTCTATAAATTCTTCTGCAGAAATTTTTTAAGGTAATGCTTAGTTTGCTTGAAAAGTGATCACCTGTAAAAATCTGCATATTATAGGCATTTTAGCACAGTGTTCATAATTGTCCCACTATATCTGCTTTATATTTATATAGCCCTAATGAGGCTATTATGAACAAAAAAAAATTTCTTAAATATTAACTACCTGTTATCATTTTGATTACTATTACGCGAAAATAGAGAGATATGGATGAACGAATCTTAGTGATTGTAAAGTAAAAGATGCTCTATCTAGTTGTAAAAAATTTACTAACTAATCTTTTTCCTATGATGATTAAAGTAATTTCGAATGGAGTCGAATTTTGCTAGCTATTTTGACTGAGTGTTCATAATTGCTCCACAGTATACAGCAAATGTTCATAATAACCCGGTGTGGGACTATTCTGAACAATTCATGGAGCTTCTAGCAAAACAGGTGCTGAATAATTTTCGACAGATAGTTTTTAGAGATTTTCAGATCAACATGCACAGAATACTTCAGGCTACGTTTCAGTGTTTTTTGTTCATAAAAATATTAAAAAATAAAAAAGTTATAAGACTTCAAGTTGCGAGTGTTGAAAACGCGTTCATAATAGCTTCACTCTACTCTACTTATTGCAAATTCACTCAATAATTATTTTAGCCGAATGAAAGATAGACAATGATTATTTCATATAAAAAAAGTGAACAATACCAAGTTTGAAAACTTGTTTCGCTTGTTTCTGTTAGTTTAAATCGTTTATGAAAAGTACAAGTAATCTGATTACCTAAACCAAACGATATTAAATAGTAGCATTTTTTTATGTGTATTTGCAATGTATTAAATAGTGGTAGTTGGTTTTTTTTGAATAAACATCTTCAACAAGAAAACTCGTTTTTTTAATTGAATTTTATAGCCAGAGAAATTTTTTTGCAAAAATTTTGCCGTTCGGGGAAATTTTTTATTTTACCGACAGATTCTGCACGCCTGTTTACTGGTGATGTTTGAGGAAGAAAAAACGTATTTTTCCACTTTTGACGTTCAGTTTTAATTTTTATCTCTATAGAATACAGATTAATTTAAGCTAAGGATTCTTGAAGAAATCATGTGTTTGAGTAAAGAATAAAAATTATGCATATTTACATTGATTGACGTTTTCAGATTTTCATTATCTGAACATTGAAGTAAAATTGCGGACGGTAGTACATATGTTGTACCGTCTGTATTTTTTATTTTCAGTAGAGAATAAATCGTTTTGTTTATATTACCCATAATATGATGATTTCTTTCTCTTCTCCTAATATATTGTCTTTCAAAAATGTTTGAAAAAAAGATTCTTACTATCTATTGTTGTTGTATATATAGCTGTTCATTTTCTCATTGATGAAATAAAGTTATTCTCGATTTTGATATACAATCAGTTAGCTCAGAGTTAAATGTAATGCTATGCAGATATACTTACTGTAATACTAAAGAAATTAGATCAAATATCGAGTGTTTTACTTTGCAAATGAGAAAAATTGTTTGTTTTAATTATTATAACTTTTTTTTAATGAAATTATTTCGAATCAAATACCATAAATCAATTGAAGAAGTACTTTTCAATAGAAAAAAAATTGGACTATGCTCTATTCAAAAAAGTTTCTTCTGTATGATGAAATAAATCGAAAGACATTTTCACACATTGTCCACTGTCAAAACCTACCATCTACAGTTTCACATATTTACACGATTCAGTCATGATCACGTATGCAACAATATTTATATTAGTGATAAGTTAATATATGTCTTTGTTTTCATCACGAGATAGTAGAATACCACTGCATGACCTTTTATTCTTCTCTATAATTTGTTACTTTTATGAAATAGTATAGAATTAGATTTTATCATTTCTTTTCAGACAAAATTCTTCATAAGATAAGTACCTATATGTATTATATCTTGGTTGAGTTTTCTTATATTCTTTTTGTTTGTTATACAAAACCTTATAAATTATAATAAAGAATACAGAAAAAAAAGGAAAGAAAAAAAAAGTAAATAGAACATGAAAGTCAATAAGTCTGTCTTTATTATGGTTTCTTCAGTTGTTTTTTTCGTAAATCTTGATCAATCATTTGTAATAAAATTGTTGAATTATCCGAATTACGTTCAATACGTTTAAGTAAATCATGCATATATTTCACAGCTGTTGTTTGTTCTTCAAGCATTACTTGTTCAATAAAATGAACAGTTGGATAATCTTTATCAGTATCTGCTGCTAAACGTACTTCAATAAGATTATCATATACTTGTCGTTCCATTTGTTCAGCTGTTTGTATCATTTTTGTAAGATTATGCATTGATGCTATTTCATCCGTAATTTTGATATCATAAAAAAGTAATTCACGATTACGTACATTATAAAAATCAAGTAATTTTTTTCCATGATCACGTTCTTCTTCAGCTGAATCAAAAAAAAATTTTGCAAAACCCTGATAAATACCACGTGTAGCTAGACGATGAGCAAATGTTAAATATGTATTTGAAGCAAGAAATTCTTTTTGTACTTGATTTTCATATACATTTTTTAAATTATTACCAAATATAAATGGTAAAAAAAATAGAATACTAATAATGTTGATAAACATCGATGATGACACCATGTTAAAACGAGCGAATATTTATGTAAAATGAAATATATTAAAAAAGAAGAAATAGAAGAAAGCATAGATATCTCTTATCTTATTTTGCTCTTTATCGAAATATCTTTGTTATCCAAAGTACACATGACTTGCACAATCATATGATATTTATGAAGAAGAAAAAAAAAGGGAAACCAGATGATTTATTATTTCAAAACAACAAAAAAAAAAAGGAAGATAAAGCATAAGTTATTTAAGAACTACTAACTAAATCATCATAAGAACCTAATTGTGCATATGTTAGTTCATATTTTGTAATATCATTTAAACCACAATCATCAATAACAATATATTTCTTTGGAATACTTGTTCCTCTGAATGTTTCCATTTCACCTAATTCATATACGAAATCCTTAAAGAGAACAAAAAAATAAAACATACAATATAAATATTATAAATAATAATAATATTTATAAATAAAATAATTCTTTTACCATTCCTGAAATAACACGTCCAAAAGCCACATGATGACCATCAAGCCATCGAGCAGGTACAAGTGTTACAAACCATTGTGCTCCATTTGTATCTTTCCCATAATTTGCCATTGATACCCAACCAGGTGAACGATGACTTAAAATATAATTTTCATCAATAAATTTATCACCATAAATACTTTTGCCTATTAAAATAACAAAAAATATTTTTATATTAAAAAAAAAAACATAGATTCGATCATGAAAAACATTTTATATTTTTTACCTCCAGTACCATCTCCGTTTGTAAAATCACCAGTTTGAATAACAAAATCACGAACAATACGATGAATAGGCGTACCTTTATAAGTATATTTCTCCTAGAAAGTTATTTTATAAATAATAATATGATCTTGAAATATAGATTTTCAATATTTACCGATCCTCGTCGAAGACCTTTAGTAATTGTAGCAAAATTAGTAACAGTCATTGGACAAATTTCACCAAATAAACCAATTACAATTTGTTTTGATTTAATTGGTGCAGATATTTTATTTTCTCTCACTGATATATTAAACCATGCTTCATGTGTTACATAAAATTTTTCAGGTATATCATCATCCAAACTATATCTTTCATCATATGCTTCCGTAACAATTATTTGTTGAATAGATAAACATATAAGTAAAGCAAAGATCATTGACATTTCAATTTATCGTTATTGTTTAATTCACGAAACTAAACTATATATCATATAGTTACATTAAAGTAAAAATAAAAATGAAAACATCACTTACTGTATAATACCGAACAAATGTATAAAATGAGAATGCTCGATTAGAACTAATTTATACCCATCGGAATAATTGGCGACGTGGCAGTTGTCAAGATGATACCACCTCTACTATGCTCAAGAGCCTCTACTTAAGTCGAAAGTATCGACCTTCAGAATTGAAATGAAATGCCAACATGGCAATATAATATCTTGTATTTTAAATCAGAAATAACGATCGATTGAATTCAATATGACTCCTATATTTAACGTCGATCAAACATGGTTCTATTTTATTTCATTATATGTTATTACTTATCTTTTGTTCTCCTATATATATATATTTTTTCTTTATCTCATTCATTTTCGTTTTTGATATAATTTAACATCCAAACTACTCTCAAATCATGACGCTAATATGCGTCTTAATAGATATAAATAATGATACTCTCATTCGAGATCATCGTTTTTTTCTTTTTCAAATACTTGATCTCAGAAAAAAAGTATCATCATTTGTGTTAAATAAACATACATGTACTGTATGAACAAAGGGGGAGAAAATATATGCGAAATAGGACAAAAAGAAAAAAAGACAATAATAGAACGAGAGAAACATTGAAATAAACAAATAAAAATTAAGTTTCAAATCAATATAGAGAAGACCGATGACCGTTTACTGTCGGCAAAGAACAAAAAACAAGAAAGAAAAAAAAAACCGAGCGGATAAGCGCCAGTCCGTTTTAGTGTATGTATATGAAATGAAACGAACATAACATGAAACAATCAAACAGAGAGCGAAAAAAAAATAACAGTTTTCTGTCAAAAAAAAAGAGAGAGAGAGAAACACATCATGTATGTAATAAATGATTGTTGATGAATGAGATTGCGCATCATTAAAAAAAAAAAGAAAGGGATATTGATCATTTAGTTTTTAGTTATTTTCTTTCATGAAGTATTGTCCCACCAACTTTGATCTGCTTGACGACTACCATTACCACTCGTAGTTTGTTGTTGAAAACGATCATAACCACCACCACCACCGCCGCCACCACCACCACCTGATTGATGATCACCGGTCCACATATTTCCACCGGCACCACTATTAGATCCATCCCATTGTTGTTGATGATTACTATATCCACTCGTTGAACTGCCCGATCGATTATTATTACCACTACCACCACCTCGATTATTACGTAATTGTCCTGAATTACGATAATCACGAGCACCAAAACCACCAGCTCTAGACAACAAAAGAAATATATAATATTAATCACAATTAATAAAATTATTTACGTACCGTCGACCACCACCATAATTGCGTCTCGAATAATTATCTTTTTTAGTTTCTCTTGCTATACCTTCGAGCCATTCGGGTACTTCTTGATGTGATTCACTTAATATATCAAGTAAATCTGTAGCAATATTACGATTTTTTTCATTGAAAAAAGATGTTGCTTGTCCTAAAATATAAATACGAATAAGAAAAATTTTCATAAAAACAATACTATTTTCTTCTTACCTGCCATACCAGCACGACCTGTTCGACCAATACGATGAACATATTCATCAATATCCGATGGTAAATCAAAATTAATAACATGTTTTACATTTCTAAAATATAAATCGAATAGTAACGCACACATGAGAAAACATATAAACATCATTGAATAGATTACAAACATCCAGAAGATACAAGATACTTTTACAGATTTCTCAGACTACTCGAGTCTATCGATCTTATTATTATGTTTCTCGACTTTGATCAGTTGACTAATGAATTTATTTTAAAGTATCTTTCTTTAATCTAAAATACTTACGGAATATCGAGACCTCGAGCAGCTACACTTGTTGCAACAAGAACAGGGGTTCGACCAGTTTTAAATGATCTCAGTGCTTCTTCACGTTGAGCTTGTGATCGATCACCGTGAATACTGTTCACTGAATACTGATGATTGAATAGAAAATCTTCAAGTACATCAGCACCTCGTTTTGTTTCGACAAATACTAATGTTAATGTTTCTAAATATTTCGATTTAAATTAATTAATTTGATAGAATAAAAAAAAAACAAATTTCTTTTTTTATTTACCAGATTGAATATTTAATAAATCAAGTAAAAATGAACGTTTTTCAGCTTCTTCTACCCATACAATTTTTTGTGTTATATTTTGTGATGTTGAACCTACACGACCAATAGCCAAAAAGACATACTCATGAAGAAAATCTCGTGCTAATTCCTAATAATTTATAAACCATATTTAAACTTAAAAAAAAACAAATTAGCATTAGTAAACCTGAATTTGTTTTGGAAAAGTAGCTGAAAACATCAGCGTTAATCGTTGGCCCATAGGCAGCATATCTGACCGTTCAACAATCTCACGAATTTGTGGCTAAAGAAAATAAACTCATTATTCTATATATCTCATTTCTTAGTCTTCTTACTTCAAAGCCCATGTCCAGCTAAACAAAAAAAAATATAATCAAAAATTATTGATTATAAAAAAAAAACATTTTTCACTTACCATGCGATCAGCTTCATCGAGAACCAAATATCTTTAAATATGAAAAAAAAAACTTGAAGATGGAAAAAAAACTAATAATTTAAATAAATCATACCGAACATTAGCCAATCCTATACGACCTCGTTGTATTAAATCATTAAGACGACCTGGTGTAGCTACTAAAAGATGAGCACCTTTTTCTAAGTCACGTGCTTGAAAACCAATATCAGCTCCACCATAGACAACACATGAACGAACCATAGATCGATAAGAAAACTAAACAATAAAACAAACATATCTAGTTTTATATATCTTAAAAAAAAAAAAAAAGAAAATTTACTTTTCGTGCTTCATCATAAATTTGTGAAGCTAATTCACGTGTCGGTGCCATAACAAGACAAAGTGGATACTGTTTACGATTATTTTGTGGATTATTTTGTGGATTACGCACAGGTCCTTCTTGGAAGATCATATGCAATATAGGAAGAAGAAATGCAGCTGTTTTGCCTGAGCCTAAACAAAAACAAATTCCTTCAAATATAATTATTAATTAGTATATATTTACCAGTTTGAGCACAGGCCATTAGATCACGTCGAAGTAAAATAGTTGGTATAGCATAACGTTGTACAGGTGTTGGTTTACCATAATTAGCTAAATTAACATTATTTTTAATAATTTCACCAAAACTGCAATCATCAAACTATTTAAAACAAACAAAAAATAATTCAACAAAAAAATTTGAACATAGTTAAAAAATACAAACTGTATCAATTGGTGCATGATCCATATGTGAAGATTCAACAGGAATATCATCATAAAGTTCAAAATTAATACCAGTTGGATGTATACCAAATAATTCTCTATATTGACAATATATACAAAAATTCCTATTGTTGAATTTTTTTATTTTTTGTTTTTTTTTTACCTTTCAAGATTAGCATTTGCTGGTAAAGGTGTATTCCAATCAGCACCGGTTGTATCACCTGATTGACCACCAACATGTGAATGAAATGGTTTATGAGGAACACGATCACGTCGATTATAATTATTATCACGTTGTCCTCCATAACCACTATTAGTATTATTATTATTATTATCTCGATTATTTCGATTTTTATAATTATTCGAAAAATTACTACCACTACGTGGATAAGAATTGTTACCACTATTATTATTATAATATGACGTTTGTCTTTCAGCTAAAATTGCATCCCATCGACCACCACTTGATTGTTGAGATGATGATTGATTAACAATATTAGTTGGATCTTGACGATTATATGTTTGTTGTTGAATTTGTGATATATCATTGAATCTAATTTAAATTATATAATTACTTTTAATATTATCAATAGAATATCAAAACAAAAAAAAAAATTTTTACGATCGATTTTGCATTTGTATTTGATGTTGAAGAGGTTGACCATAACCTCGAGTATCAAGCGGTTGTGAAGGATTCATTGGACGTGGTATTTGTCCCATTTGTTGATAAGCATTTGACATAGGTTGATGATACATTTGTGTTTGTTGAGGTGCCATTTGTGGTGGTTGACCATAATATGCTTGTTGTGGAGGAGGGGGATGATGAAGAGTATTGCCACCACCATAATTATTGCCATAATTTTGTTGTGGAGGTGGTGGACCAATATTAACTGATCCTCGATAACCACCTGACATATTGCCATAATTACCACTAGAGAAAAACAATAAGAAATTATTAACCAAAAAAAAAAAATTAATATTAATATACTTCGGTATATTCATTCGATTTTGCATATGGGGAGGTCGATAGACTTGTGTAGTAGAAGATTGTTGTTGTTGTTGTTGTTGTTGTTTGGGAGGAGGAACTCCTCCACGACTGTAACCACCAGCATAAGTATTATCATTATTACCTTGCTCGTTATTATTATTCTGATATCTTGAATTTTCATATGAACCGCCAAGTGATTGTTGTTGTGGCGATTTTGTATCTTGACTAAATAATCAAAACATAAATTCAATCAGTAAAAAAAAATTGATTTTTTTTGTGTTTTTTAAACTTCGAAAAGAACGCTTACTCATTGATCATCGTATATTATTGCTTGGTTTTTTCTGTGATTTTGTTATAAAAAGGGGATGTTATTGATGTTAAAAATTTTTTTTTTGTTTTTCTAAAACTTAAAAAAAAACAAAAACAAAAACGAATGATGAAATAATCATCCAATGCAATGAGAGTTAAAATCTTAACTACATTCAATTTCAATTTAAAAGAAAATAATAATATCTAATAATTATCATATTTGAATCTAAACAATATTAAACTAACTAACATTCCCTCTCTTTTCAAACCTCATTTGTTTATTTATTCTCTGTTTTTCTTCTCTTGCTCTCTCTCTCCCTCTCTCTCTCATCATCTCATCATCTTTGTCATCTGCCAATGTAACAGAGAATTTTTGAAAAATAAAAATTATTGAATCACTTGAATTTTATCAAAATATTAACCAATTATTATAGGTTTATATCATTCTTTTAAAAAATAAATAAAATAAAGAGCAAAACAAAAAACAAAAAAAATATATAGAAAACAATACTAGATAGAGGACGCTACAAATCGAACATAACAATTGTTTTTTTATTTTAATTATAATCTATTTGTCATTGTCATCAATTGATTAGATAAATACCTGATAAAAGATAAATCATCAGAAATTCAATTTAGATTTTCATATTGATTATCAAATTAATCAAAAAAAAAATCGAATATATCTTGATTTAGTTAATGCATTAATTAGTTTATTTTTGATAAATTTGTTTTTGTTTTTCATTCACCGGTAACATTCAACAAAAACAATTTCATGACTTTCTATATCCAAAAAAAAAATAAAACAAAGCAACGAAACACATAAAAGACAAAAAATATATTGTAAAAGGTAAATAAAGATCTATGCGTAGACAACAGCAAAAATAAAAGTTTTTGAGAGAAAAAATTTACTGTGTTAACAAAAAAGGAAAAATTCAGATCTATATAAAATAAATATTTAAGAAATAAAAAGAAACAATTGATTTAAAAGTTTATTAAATAAATATTTCATTCATTTTTGATTGAAATCCTTATTTTGAAATAAAACTTCACGATCACCATCACTCGTCATTATTTCATTTTCATCAGAATGATGTTCTTCTTCATCTAAGAATGATGATGTCGTCATTAAATTTAAAGATGAAGGAACATTAACTATATTTCCATTATTGTTTATTGTTGTTAATTGTTGAGATTGTGATAAAGAATTTAATGAAAATATATCTTTAACATGTCTAATATTTCGAGTTGTTGATTCCATACCACCAAATGTACTTTCATTTGATGTTATACCAGATCGAACAAGTGGTATAAGAAATTTGACATTTTTTGGTGCTGAAACAATTGATAAATTTTCATTAGGAACAGTACGTGTTTCATCCATAGAATTATTTGTTGGATTTTGTGACATTAAACGATTAAGTGCAGCACCAAGTATACTATTTTCAGTATATAATTGATATTCATTAAAAGATTCATTCTTTGAAAGATTTTGATTATGATTAGTATTAATTATTGATGAAGGTTGTGATTGATGATGACGAAAATGACTACGTCTAAAGAAATTTAAAAATAAAAATTAATCTTCATAATTCTACAAATTTTACCGTTCTTCTTCACGTTTAGTTTCAATCCAATTATTAAATAATACCCAATCACCAAATGTCATTGAAAAAACCTTTAACAAAAAGGAAAAATAAATCAATGAATTAACTTTTTTTTTAAATATTTATACTCTTTTAAGTTCACTAAGATCACATGTTGCTAAAACTCGACCACTAATATTATATTCATTAATATCATGAATATACATTGGTATCATTGCTGTTTTTAAACCAATAATATCATTCTTTAAACAATCACATATATCATTTACTGACATTTGACTCAATGGTGGTGATAAATCTACCTAATATTTTGAATGAAAATTAAAACAAAAAAAAACAAACCTATATATACATTAAAAGAAAATATAATGTTTACTTTGACATTTCCAGAAGGATCAGTTGGTGCAGAAAGTTTTTGATTAATCAATGATGATAAAATAGGTGCTGATGCTGATGAAACTGATGATGTTCGATGATGACTATCTTCATCATCGGCTCGTTTTTTTATTGGTACTTGATTATATAAACGATGAAATGGAAAATCAAATGAAGGACGGCGTTGATTTCCTAGAGAACAAAAAAAAAACATAAATGAAATAGATAAATTTATCTCTTAATATCAATACCATCTTGTCCAGCAAAACTAAATCTTGGATGAAATTTATTTTTATGCCGTGATATAGGTCCTTGTTGAAAGAAATTACCATGCCCAGCAAGACTACAAAAAAAAAATCACAGATAAACAATTTAAAAATTTATATTCGAATCAAATTTACTATTAAGGAAAAAAAAATATATACAGGCAAAAAGAAAGAAAAATTAAAAAAACAAAGTCTGTACATGCATTGTGGAAAAATAATCTCAAAATCTTATAATTTTACCATTTCATACAATGACAATAATAAAAATCTCTGAATATAAGAAAAAAAAAAAAGAATCGTATGATTATCTATTCATTTTATTTACGTACGTTGGATCATGAGAGAAGAATCTGGATGTATCTCCACTAATAAAACCATTTTCATCAGAATTATTCATATAAAAATAAGCTGCTGAATCTATTTAGGCAATAAATTTTTGATTATTCAAATAACAAAACAAAAAAGAATTTTATTTACCTCGAATGAGTTTATTTAAATATGGATCAAGATTACATGTACATAGAAGAAATTGTTTTAAATCATAAATATTTAAAATAGGTTCACCACGATCTATACAAAGTTCAAATTTACGTCCATTACGATCAAGTTCTACAAGATGATCATTTGATGTTGGAATAAATGGTTTAATTCTAAAAAAATAAATATTTCATTAACAAAATCCTCTTTCATAGTTATTAATACATACTTATCAAATAGAGCTTTTAATGCCGTATCATCTGAATATTCTTGTTCATGATCTTCATAATAGACAACAATCCATGATATACGATATGGCCATTGTTCAACTAAATATGACCAACATCCAAGACGTTTCCAACTAAATAAAACTTGATTAGCACGAAGTAATCGACCAGTCATAGCAATTATATTAATAAGACGTTGAAGAATTCGTGGATTAATATCAAGAAAATAATCAGATTGTAATAATTGATTTGTTAATTCGGATGTTGTTACCTAATATTCAAGAAATAAAAGAGATAAGATAGAAAAAACAAATCAAAATATTTATCAGACTGGTTTAATATTAGATAATGTATCTCGTCGTTGTCGACGTCGTTTATTCTTTGGAAGTTTATTAGTTGTTACTGGATTTGCTCTTATATCAAGAACTGATCCACCATTAGTAAGAGTCTAGAAAACAAAAAAATTCTTGTAGATATTATATTGAAGAAAAAACAAAGAATATTAACTAACATTTGATCTCTTCTTTGGAAAAGCATCAGCATCTTTTTTCAATTGTTTTGTTTTACTCATATTTAATTGTAAATAAATAGGAAGTTGAATAATCGAACGTAAATAATCGTGACCATTAACATTAGTATCAAAATTTTGATTTTGACCAGTTGTTGATGATATTGCCAATGTTGTTGATAAATCTTGCATCATTTTATGTGGATCACAAACAATCAATGTAATAAATGGATCATTTTCTTTTGTAAAAAGTACATGTACTTGCTAAAAAAGATAAGAGATAAACAAAAAAACAAAAATAATGACTAGTTTTATTAGATTAAATTGATTTACATCGAGTATTTGAAGAATACGTTGTTGTTCACATACATCTAAACCATCAATAAGAACAACAAGACGAGTATTAATATTAAGAAAAGCTTCAACAGATTTGATGATATATGATAATTGACTAACCTGAAAACAAAAATGTTTAGTTCTTAGAAAAAAAAAAAGAAAATTCTATTAAAAATGGTTTACTTCTTTTTTAAGTCGATAAAGCGAACTTTCATTAAGACGTGATGAATGATCGGAAAGTTTCATTATTTTTGATTTAGGTGATTTCATTAATCCAACTAATAATTGTAGACATGTACCAAAACTAAGTAATATCGAAGCACCTAATATACTAATTAGTGAAATATAGGTTATATTAACTGAATGATAACTAGATGGAACTCCTATGATAATTTCAAAGAAAAAATATTTTCTATATTATTCATCATAAAAATATTACCATATATTAATACAAGAATACCGAAAGCTAGTAGAAGAGAAATTTGAATAGAAATAAAAATGAATGTTGGCATGCAACATATATATCGAAATCGATGACGACTTAAATCTAATTAGTAGATAGGAATATAAATATTAAAGCAAAGAATCGACTTCTTTTTTTTTGTTTATAGATAAAAACCTTTCGAATGAAGTGCACGACAAAGACGTGTTGCTACAATACCAAATGTTTCTTCAACATTTGTTGCTAGTTCAGCAATCATCGAAGCACTTGCTTTTTCACTTTCAACTGTTGAAACTTTTCCATATTCAGTAAAAATAAATCTAGAATATAAAAAAATATATTTCAATGAAAATTCTATTTAATTTTTTTTTTAATTTACTTCATTTTTTTATAATCTGATGTATTATTTTTTTTTGAACGATGATGAACATATGGATTCATAAAAAGAACTTGAAGTAAAAATCGTAAAATTTCTAAACGTTTCTTTATATATTGTGCTACATTAGCTGTCCATATATAATCTTTATGACGAAGAAGATATCGAATAAAAACAAGAAATCCTATACAAATCATAATCAAAGTAACACCTAATGATATGCCAACAATATAATGTATTGAGAAACCAATAATAAGACCAATAACTAATGCCACAATTATAATAACCGATAGAAGTAATGGTGAAAATTCCATAGTTGGAAAGTCTAAAAAAAATTACATTGAATTATATACTGACAAAATCATAACATCTAATAAAATATTTTTATATAAGGCTTGAAATATTCATTCAATCTATTTACCTGTTAATTGAGCAAAACTATGCATCTCGTCTAGAAAAACAAAAAATAAATAAATCACAATGTAATACAAAGAAATTTACCTTTTAAATGTGTTAACAATGCTGACTTTCCACTACCCCATTTTGCATAAAGACCCTATATAAAATAGATTAGACAAGATCGAAAACATGTATAGATTGCTTACCACAGTAATCGGAGTTCGAAGTGATGGTTCACTTAAAATTTCTGCTAATGCTGATGAATATAGATCATAACCAAGAATAGAATCATCATTCAAGTTTAATGTTCCTATTTATCAAAAAAAAAAAAAAAAAAGAAAGTACACTATCATAAATCTATGCTTATTTAAAAATCGAAATACATACGTTGTCCAAAAATAGTTGTTAAAATACTCTTTTGTAAATTAGCATCAATTTTATATGGTGTTTCACCACGTTTATTAGGTCGATATAAATATTTTGAATGACGTGGATTTGAAAGTAAAATATCAGCAATATCTCGACTACGATTACGTAAAGCAATATGTAAACTATTATCACCATACTAAAATCCCCACAAAAAAAAAAAATAATTGAATAAATTTAAAAAATAAAATTCTACCCGATCAGTAGCTGATAATCGAGCACCATATTTAATAAGTTCATAAACAATAGCTACACGTTTTCGTTTAGCAGCTAATAAAAGTGGTGTATCATCATCTTCACCACCAACAACTTCAACATCCGGATTAAATTGAAGTAAATATTTAACTACATCAAGTCGACCTCGTTCAACTGCCCACCAAATAGCTGTTTTATTATCCTTTTATTTTTAAAATAGATTAAAATAATAAAGAATATGTCATAGCTTATTTTTTTTATTATTAAACTTACAGCACCAATAGCATTTATATCAGCATGATTATCAAGTAGAATAGCAACACAATCTTCTTTTCCACCTTTAACAGCAAAGAAAAGAACTGGATCACCATTCTAAATAATTCAAAATATTAAAATAAACAAACAAAAGAAAAATTTTTTTTAAAAATTATAAATCATACTCTATCAACTGTATTAACATAGGCATGATGTCGAACAAGTTCAGCAACAACATCGGTAAGACCTTGAGCACATGCATGACTCAATGGTGTGTGTCCATCCTAATGAAATTTATTTATTTAGAAAAAAAAAAAACTTATTATTATCTTACCTTATCTTGTACTTTAATATCAATTGTTTGATTTTGAAGTAGACGAAGTGCTGTATCTCCATGACCACCTCTTGTAGCAGCTAATAAAGCTGTCATATTTTTCATTCCAATGTTATTAACAGTAGCATTATATTTTAGTAATAGATCAACTATTTCTGTATGACCTAATAGAAAAATTTCAAATATTATTATATGAATTTAATTATTTCTACATACCACGTCGACTAGCCCAGATTAATGGTGTTGTATCATTCTTATCGCATAGACTAGGTGAAGCTCCAGCTTTAAGTAATAATTCTACAATATCAACATGATTTCGTCCTGATGCCCAACTTAAACTTGAAATTCCATGTTCATCAACAGCATCAACCTTTGCATCACAACTTAATAAATATTCAACAATTCTTGTATGTCCTTCATAAGATGCCCACATTAAAGGAGTAAATTGTCCCTATTTAAGAAAAAAAAATGTTCAATGTTTTCTTCTATATTATTTTGTCTTAAATTATTCAACACTTACACAATCAAAATGTTCAATTTTTGCATCATGTTCAACAAGAATATGAACAATATCTAAATTTCCATTTTGTGATGCATTTAATAATGCTGTCCAATTATCCTGAATAAAAAAAAAAAGAAAGAAAATAACAATTCATCAAAAATACTCTAATCAAATCAATTTTAGCTAATATTAATCCATATTCTTTCATAATGATTTAAATTATCTATTTTTTTATAATAAATTATTTATAACTGTTAAATATAACCGTCTTTCAATCGGATACGTAATACTTATTAGCAAATCAAAGGTAGTCATTTTAGCCGATAGAATCTCACAGGAAAGAATTGATCAATGTTTTGCTCGAACAAGTATTTGGGTTTCACTGTTAGAGAAAGAGCTTGAGTATGGGAAAAAGTCTACCTGAGAATGAAAATAGTTGAAAAGTTTTCTAGAGATTTTTTTGGAAAATTACTGTTCGATTCACTTTTATTATCTATATTTTCAAGTGAAATTGAAAACTCAATATCTCGAGCAAGGAACATCCTTTTTAGCGAAAACTTTTAGGATATTCTATGGGCATATTTTCAGGTCAAAATTCAATAGAAATGGTCATAGTTTTTTTAGAAAAGGTCGAAAACGCCTAAAAATTTCGGGGTCTATAAAGTCGAGATTAGGCTATAATATGACTAAATCAAAATTGAAAATAGAGCTAATCAGATGAATCAGACAGTAATTTTTCAAAAAATCTCTAGAAAACTTTTCAAGTATTTTCATTCTCAGGTAGATTTGCATCCATAATCATGCTCTTTCTAATGGCGAAAATCCGAGCTCAATAGCTATCAGTGTTGTCGAGTTATTCAGCAAATAAACAACCGAGTCCATTCTTTTTTTTTTTAATTGATAATAGATCAAATATTTGCTTTTTTCATAACAAACCGATTAAATTTATAATTGATTCTTACCACATCTTCTGCATCTACATCAGCATGCGCTTCAAGAAGTACTTTTACACATTCTAGATGATTACATCGAGCTGATAAAATAAGTGCAGTTTGTTGATCCTAAATAAAACAGAGAAAAAAAAAAGAAAATAAGTCAAATCTTGTTTCTTTTTTCTTTTTTATCTACAACTTACTTCATCACGTGTTTCTAAATCAATACCATTTTCAATATTTCTTTTAACACCATCGACATCTCCATTTTCAGCATCGAGTAAAAATTGACGAAAAACATTGGCCATTCAGATCTATCTATAATATAATCAAAAATAAATTTATTTTTTGTTCTTTTTTATGCTTGTCTATATATGTAAAAATATCAACAATTTTATATTGTACACAGAATGCAAAGAAAAAAAAACAAACAGATGTCTTCTTAGTTATATTATAATTGTTCTTGTGCATGACGTGTTTCAATGCCAGCCATGTTCAAAATAGCTTCTTCTTCTTCATATGATCTCTTAACCTATATTCAAATCAAAATAATATATGAAATAAAAATTTTGTTTTCTTTTTACTTTGCTAGATTTCTCAACTTGTCTATTTTCCCATTGTCGCAGACTATTCTGTTCTTCAGCACTTTTTCTACCTCCAACACCCCATACATCAATAGCAGCTAAACGACCTTCACCATTTAAATGTTTTACATTAAAAAAATCACCATCAATATTTAAAAATGTATGTGCAAGATCACGACCAATAAATAAACCAGGTGCTGATAAACCACGTAATTTTGTATTCATAAAAATTATACTTGGACCTTCTATAAAATAAATGAAAAAATTTTCTATTTATCACAAAAAAAAAATTTTTCATTTCTACCAATAACAAGTTTAAATATTGGTTTTAATTGAAATAAACATGCTTGTATACCACCAAAATGTTTCGGTGATTCTCTAATATAAAGAAATAAGAAGAAAAAAAAAATATTACTTTTTTTTCCTTGTCAATTTTCTACTTGAATTCTTCATCACAACATAAACAAAATAGATAACCATCTGATATTTCAAATAAAATAATTATTGGTGCTTTATAACCAAAAATATGATGTTGAAATCTAAATAAAGGTAATAAATAAATCATTGAAAATTTGTATTAATAATTGTATACCTATTCAAACTTGATCCATCTTGATGACTATCATATAGATGATCCCACATTCGATCATACTATTATTCAAAAAAATATGATAAAAAAAAAAGCAACGAAGAAAATTTACCAAAACTGAAGACATACGATCCAATAAAGTTGTACAAGAATTATCTGCTGATAGATATAAAATAGGAATGTTATGTGTTAATAACCATACCAAAGTTGGATTAAGAATATTATTCATTTTCATAAATGAACGATTCTGTATATGAAATAAAATAATAGAATGATCTTTTTCTTTCTTTTTTTTTTGTTAAATAAAACAATATACCGATGCAGATGCTTCTTGAGAAGTTTTATTACTTTTAGACGATGTCGAACGATTACGAAGCCACATTTCAATACCGTAGAATAGTGTTGGAAATTGTGTACGTACCCATTGATAAAATTGTTCTTGTTCAATTTCAGATGTTGTATTCGGTCCGATACTATTTGTCAATGCTGAAAAACATTGATTATCAAGCATATTAGTTTGAAATGTTTTCATATCTTCGGTTAAAACTTGTTTTAAATCGAACATACAACAATCATGAAATAGTTTAGTTATTTCTAAATTCATCAAAAAAAAAAAAAAAAAAAAAGAAATATATTATTGTTTCGTATAAAATAAATATTTTTTACCATGTCGAGGAATACTTGTACGATTATTCCAAATAAGTTTAATTAAAAGATTTGAAAATTCTTCGGATTTTGTTGGAGATAAAATAGCTTCAATAATTCGATCATGTGATGATACATCAGTTCCTTGTCGAAATATACACAGAGGATATTGATCATCAGTACATAACTAAAATACACACCAGAAATATGAAATTTATTGAAAATGATGTATTAGATTCTATTTTATTACGTGAGATAATTGACGAAGAATTTCTTCATAGATTTGAATATTTTGTTTTGAATTATTTTCTGTCTTTTTCGAATGTGATGTTGTACCACTTTGTGATGTATTGCCGCCCATTATATAGTCAGGTGTCAATAAATTTACAAAGAAAAATAAATCAAAAGAAACGGATTAAATAAAAGTTTCGTGAAAATTTAAATCTTCCACAAGCTTATTTGACATTCAATAAATTGAATAAGAGAATTAAGAGCTCATGTCTCAATTTCAAGGCCTCGAGTATATGTTGGCTATTTACAATGTACTAACACTAAAGAACAAATGCAAAAGAGGGCACCAGTTAGCAGCAATGACGTCTAACGTAGAATACATTTGTCTAATAGTTCTTTTTTCGTTTGTCCAACAAGAAATCGACACAAAATTAATCATTTTCCACCGTTCTACAGGAAGTTTTTTTTTTTCTATCATTTCACCAATTGAAAATAATGTTTGATAGATAATTATTTTCGATATTCAACTGTACCGTGAAAATATGTCAATAAGCAGAAAAAAGAAAAACATAATTTGTCATGCTTTCTATTTTCAGTTGCATGACGGCATATAATGGTTGAGTTTTGAAGAAAAATAATTTAAATTACTTATATGAATGATTAATAAACTGAATAATTTCAAATATAGATAAACATACTATGATTAACTCTATATGATATTAATACGAAATTCAATTGAGAAAGATTTTGCACTGGTAACTGTCTAGTTAGAATTTTTAAATTTATGTACATGACGAAAAAAGAGATAGCATTTACAAATATTTCCCTCGTTTTTGTAATAAATTAGCATGTACAATACAGTAGATATAAACAAAAGTCAACAAAAAAAGAAAATTTATCATATAATTATAGACATATATACAAAAGGATCGATTTGAAAATGATATTGTATACATGTGTTGTCCAGAATTGGAAACGACGATTAATCAGTACGATTCATTTCAGTACATAAAATAGAATCTTCTCTTTTTTTTTCTCTCATGTTCTACAAATATAGTTATACTATTGAATGTTAAGATTTTATTTTTAATTGATAATCAATTTTGATATTTATTGTATAGCAAATTCTCACGAATTGAATTTTGTCTCTATTTCCTAAATGAATTTTTTTTCAATTATTTATTATTATAGAAATATCTTGTTAGAAAACGAATTATATATATATATATGTACTATAGCATTTTAATATTATATTTTTTTTTCAATCAGATAATTAGGTTTATTTAATAATACACAAAGAATAAGATAACATAGAAAATTCAACTAGATTCTTTTGAAGAAAATAAGTTGAAATATAGAGACGGTTACTTTTATCAAATATATCATGTACATCGAAATGGATTATTGCTGTGATTAGCTAATATAAAATAGAAAATTTTATATAGATTTTAATAATATTATCAAAAATAAATTACTTTTAACTATTTTTGCTTGAGATGTTTCTACATCATTGGATGATAAATCTTTTCGTTTATTATTAATTCTATTTTCATTTGTTTGTTGTATTTCAATAGTTGAAGTTGATAAACAATAATTTTGTCCTGCTTGAATATATTCTTGTCGAAATGATGAACTAATATGTCGAGCCATATCTAAATTCAAGTATTTTTTTGTGTAATATGAATTGAATCATTTTTTTTTCTTTTGTTTTGAATTACCCATAAAAAGTTCATGATGATCTTTTGCAAGACTTTCAACTAATAATGTTTGTAATTTAAGAAAAATTGTTCGATCAGTTTTATGAGTTTTATGATCTTGTAACATATGTGTAAAACGTGGATAGACTCCATGTGGCATAGCTGTTTTTAACTAAGATGAAATAAATTTCTAAAAAAAAATAGATTCTTATGTAAAAAAAGAATTACTCGACATAATAATTCTCGATATTCGGAAACTTTTGTAGTTGATAAAGGTAATGTAGAATTATTATTATTATTATTAGAAATCGATGAAGTCTCTTCAAACTAAATGGAATATAAGTATTAGTTTATTAAATTAAAATAATTCATCTTTTTTTTAAAATACTGTTCCCATCATTGGTAGAAATTTCTTAGATAAAGAATCAGTACGTGCAGCTTCACGTCGTTTCAACTCGAGCATAGCATCAAAATCACGTTGTTTCTAGATGTAAGAAATTCAAACAAGTTTGCTCTAGATCAACAAGGAAAAACCAACCACACTTACATCATCTGATTCAATATTTTGCATAGATATTGTATTTCCATTCTTAAAAAAAAGAAAAACAACAACAATATGTGAAAGAGTCAATTGTTGATTATATTTTACTCGTTGTGTTGAAGATATAGCATCAAATAAAGATTTATGAACAATATTGGTTTCATTTCGAATATTATCTGATGATATTTGTTCAGTAGATTTTACAGTATATCCAACTTTAAGAAAAAGAAATAAATTTATTTTAATAAATAGAAAAAATTAATCCATAAAAAAGTCCAATGTTTCTTTCAACAGACATTGCAGTAATCACTTATTGTAGACTTAATAGAAATTTTATATTGCAAAAAACTAAATTTCTCTTACAATGAGACTATCAAACGATACAAAAAGAATTTTTAAAATTCATAAATTTTTTAAAACTCTTTTAAAAACTTTGTTTACTCATATTTTTCATCAAAAACAAAAATAAAACACAAGCGTAAGAAGATTTACTAGATTGTTTCAATGTTGTTTGAAGAATATCTTCAGATAATACTGTATGATTAATAGATTTTGATGTAATATTTGTCATCATTATTGTTGAATGTGTAACAGATGGAAAAAATGCTTGTTGAATAGGATGAGTTGTTTGTTGATCGATTGAATTTGATGACTTCTACAGTAAAGATCACGAGAACAAGTGAAAAACAAAAAAGAAAACAAATAAAACAACTTCGGTAAAAAAATTTTTAAGTCCTTTCATCATTCCAGTAAAATCAACTGTATGTATATATGGATGAAGCCATTTTGATAATTTATCTATATTATCTCCAAATCTATACAAGACAAAAAAAAAAAAAGATAATTCATTCTAAAATTAAGAATTCTTACCGTTGATCAAAAAAAAGTACTGCACCATAATCACGTCTATGTCGTATAACACGACCAACACATTGATTAATAGCTCGAAAAGCTTGTTGATTATACCAAATATCACCTGCTTTCTTTCAAAATAATACAAAAAAAAAAATTAATTAATTTTTTGTAAGTAAAAAACAAAAAAAAAATAAAACATACATTTCTACGATTCATTTCATCAAGATAATGTCTTTTAGCAATAACTCGTCTATCGTGATGAGGTGCAAATGGTATACCAATAATAATTACTGCTCGACAAGTTTTATCACTAAAATCAATACCTTCACTTAATTTTCCACGTGCAACAGCAAATAACATAGCACCACGTTGATCATTTTCAATAATTGTATTAAATTCTTTCATTTGATTTTCAAATTTCGTTTTATTTCGTTGTTCAATTATTACTCGTTTACGTTGATTCATTATTTCAAATGTAGCATTATTCTATTTATTAAAGTTTATTATTAAATTTATATTCATGTCAAATAAAAAAAAAAAACAAAGACACCAACCTTCCATGTTGCAACAACTTCATCGATCATTTTATAACAAGGAAAAAAGACAAGAACACCACCTGGAATATTTTTTATGACATTATGTAATGTTTGACCTAAATAATTATATCATTTATGTTATTGAATAAATTCTCAAATAGTTTTTGCTTTTTACCTAGTGCTTCTTGATATTCTGGATTTTGTCTATGTAAAACGATAGTATTTGGTTCAGAAAATGAAGCAAGTTTTTTGACTTACCTTGTTTTATAGACAGATGTAAGAATATGTTTATTACCAGCTGCTCGAGGTAAAATAGCAGCAAATAATTGATTTTTTTCAATAATATGATCATTTTGTATAACAATATCAAATGGACTGAAATTTAAAATTCTATTTAGATTCAATTAAGAAAAAAAACCTATCAATCGTTCATACATTGCTAATTGTGTTTTAAATGAATCAATTGGTGAAAGTGTACCACTTGTTAACAGAATAGATCGAGTATTTTGCATACATAATTGTCGCATAGAAAAACCTGGTGATAAACACCAATAATGAAGTTTTTTAGGTCCTAAGAAATTAAAACCTCAAAATATATTTAACAATTTTTTTTTGAAAAATTTTACTTACGTTTAGAAATGATAATCGAAGGTCTTTGTTGTTCATTATTATTATTATTATTCTCTTCTTCAATATAGACCTAGAGTAAATAATTATCGTTATCAGTTTATTTGAAGTATAATTCAAAAAACAAAAACACATCACGTACTTTAAAAACAGATTTTCGTTGAGCATCCATATCAAATGTAAAACATGGTTGACCATTTTCATCCAATGGATGAACAGTCTATTGTAAGGAAATATAGTTAATTAAATAAAAAACAGACAAGCATTACTTCAATGAATTCAGCTAATTTAAGAAGTGATTGCCCATTTGAACGAAAAATTGAACCCGCTAACCAGAAACGAAAAATAGAGATATGTCGTAAAAAGATCGAAATCCAAAATCTTGGAAAAAAAGTGATGTTTCTACTATCTATTTCAAAATAGAAGGCGAGTGATTATGAGTCGAATAACTCGGGAACGAAAGCAACTATTGAGTTGCGGTTTTCATCATTGAAAAGTGGACATCGGGGTACGTAAACCTATGGAAAAGTTTCATTGGTCAGTAGTAGATCAATAGAATGAAAGCTCGCTGGATATTTTGAAGATAGCTTTTGGAACGCTTTTTTCGTTGTATTTTGAACTTCAATTGAACCATTCTATAGAAAAAATTGTTCTCTTTCGATCTACACAAAGCCGAGCTCGATAACTATAGGCATTTTCTTGAGACTCCAGAAATCGGTCAGGTGAGGCAGAATCACCTTCAAAAGCGTTTTTTCATAGGTTTACGTACCCCGGTGTCCGCTTTTCAATGATGAAAACCGCAACTCAATAGTTGCTTTCGTTCCCGAGTTATTCGACTCGTAATCACTCGCCTTCTTTTTTGAAATGGATAGTAGTAAACGGTGATTCAAAGCATATGCTATTTTTTTCTGGATGCGTATGAATGAAGAGAAGATCCATCCTCACAACCATATCAGAGGTGTCCATGACGACGCTGTCACCGTGGCGGTGGAATCGCAGCAGCGGCATATTCTCAGCCGCGATGGACATCTATGAGCCACATCTTCGGCTACAGCAATAGTTGTGTTACCAAGTAAATGTAGAATAATTTAAGCAACTATTTTTTTGCGTACACAATCTAAAACACTTTTCAACTATTTTCTACTTCGATATTTTTCGTTTTGGTTTTTCTACAGCCAAACTAAAAAGCAAGAAGTATGATTATATGACGAATATTATAATTACATCTAGCAGTCATAAATTGATTAATATCTTGAAGTTGTTGTATATCTCCTTGTGCAGTAAAATCTATTTCAGCATTTTTAAGCCATTTAAAAGCAACACTAAAATAAAAAACTATGATTTATGTTCGTTTTTGTTTTTGTTTTTGATAAAACATACTCGCCAGGTGATGGAATATTTCCTTTGGTTGTCTTCATTTCATCCAATAATTCTTCTAATTTCATAATTTTTACTTTAATCAAATAGAATCATAATCTTTTTTTTTAAAGAAAATTAATTAACTTACATTTTAAATTAGAAATTTGATCTTGTGTAATAGTTAAAGCTAAAATAATATTCTAAACAAAAAATTTTCAATCATAAATAAATTCTTTACCATTTGTATTAATATTATTTTCTTCATTGTCATCAGTTGATATTGTAGAAGAATCTTCTGATGATTTTGAATTGATCATCCATTGCATAACTTTAGTTGTATCATCAAGACAAGCAGCAAGATCAAGTGAACTAATCATAACTGAAGCTGCATCTTCACATTGTTGTTCAATATTATGAGCTTCATCAAAAATAACTATAGATTTACGTACATTAATCTTATGAATACGACGAGCCTTTGGAAAAGAAATATTAGTTCGATTTTTTAAAATTCATTATTAAAATACTTTAGCATCAAGTAAATAATTATATGGCATAAATATAATATCAGCTTTTTCTTTAAGTTCTCTTGCTGCAAAATAAGGACAAAACCTATTAAATAAATACTAAGATATTATTATGAAGTATAAATCTTTTTTAGACTTTTTTTGTATTCCTGTTTTAACTAAATCTTCAATATCCATTGATGGTAATTTAACAATATCAGGTTTAGAAACTAAAATTATATCATATGAATTATATTTGTTTTTCTTTTTTCTTTCTATTTGAAATACAATACTTTCGAAATTTCGATAAAATAAACATGCTTTTCGATGAATTTTTTCTCGACAAACTGATATTTTATCAGAACTATTTTCAAGAGATTTTACTTCTGGATGAATACATAATTGATCACGAGAACCTAAAACAGTTATTTTCATACGACTAAGATAAAAACAAAATTAAAAAACAAATGTATAATATTTAGAAATTTGAATTTTCAAACTTGTAATCAGTTGATTTAAATTCTTTAACAACTTGTGATAATTGAGAATGTGTACGTGATGCATAAATAATTTGAATTGGTGCTTCTAAAATATCATTGAATTTTAATTTATTAATAAATTCAATAGAAAAATTTTACCATTTGAATCTAAATTATGTATTTTATATTGTTCAAGCCAAGCAAGAGAAGCACATAATAGAGAAAGAGTTTTTCCCGTACCTTTCGATTACAAACAAATAAATTTAATGAATAACAACAGAAAAAGATATTAAAATTCTCCACCTGTTGGACTTTCAAGAATACCATTTTGACCCTTCAAAACAAAACAAAATTTAGATTAATTTTTTGTATAGAAACAAAAAAAAATAAACTATCAAACTTTAATTAGACATTCAACTACAGCTTTCATATAATCAAGTTGACATTGATAAGCTTCAAAAGGAAATAAAACAGTTAATCCATCAATTAAATATGGATGCATTATAAAAATCTAAATATTATTCACAAAGAAAAAAAAACAATATTAGAAATAGATGAATCATCATCATCTCAATTGCCAAGAATCTTTTTTACCAACTATTATATATATATATATATATCGAACGAATGAATGAAACGTCACCCTTTTGATATGATTGGTTTACATAATCAATTGTAATTCACAAATAAAATTTACAATAGAAATACTGCTATCCCTTTTTTGTTTTTGAAATCAATACGAATTATTTATGTTCAAAAAATCAGTTGTTTATTATTTTTTAGAAGAAGAGAAATGAGTAGTGTGAATGTCGCTGAAGTGAAGATTCATACAAGAAGAATACTAATTAGAATAACATTTTTTTAATGTAATCAATAGACAGTAAATCATGTAATCCGATAAAAATTTATCAGTTTTATGTTTGTTATCTTGTTTGTAAATATTGAAACAGAAAAATACAAAAACAATAGGCTTGTCCCGATTCTTATAAGAAAGTTCTCAATAAAACTATCATTGATAAAGGACAAAAAAAAACACATATAATACAAAAATGAATAGTTTTTATTTTAATCAAAAATATTTCTATCGTTGAGATGGTGTTAATTCAGCAACAAATTCAGCAACAAGATTTAATAAAACATCAACTTTAAGTTTTAACATATTATTTTCTTCTTTTAATACATCAACTTGTTTTCGAATTTTTTGTGCACTAGCACTCGATGCTATTCCACCAAGACTTTCTGCACCAGCTAAATAAATAAGAATAAAATATATTTATTGGATATATAAAGAAGAAAAAAACAAACGAAGAAATTGTCATACCTGTATTCCAATCACCATTTTCGGTATCAAAAATAATTTTTTTATCTGCAACCTTAACATTAATTACCTCACATTTTGGACCCAACTCACGAAACATTTCATCTGCAGGTAATTTAAGTGGACTTCTTGACACATATTTTCGTGGTTTACTTTTTTTAATTGAGAATGCATTTGAAAAAAACGACATGATATTCAAGTAATTGATTTTCTTATAGTAAAAGAACTTGTCAATAAAAATTATCGGCCATTAATTGAATCGTTGTTACTATATGATTTCTATACAAATGTATTTCTAGCAAATGACATATAGCGACAATTTTACTTGTTCTACTTGTTAATCTTATAAACCAATAGAAAAAAAAGCTTTCAGTCAAGATAAGCTACATTCACACGCTACATATAAAAGTGTATGTAACTTATCCTAGTCAATTTGAACTCACCCGGTTCTATTCCATGTTTAACTCTTCTGTCCAGCTTTTGATGACAATGTAAATATGTCAATGATGTGCAATTTAAGTCAAAAAAAAAATAATTCATTACAAAAAAATTAATTCTTAGTTCAATTGAGAAATCAATTAATTCACTTTTTTAAATAAATTTTTTGAAATCTTTTTATTTCAGTGCCGAATCGTATAGAAAGAAAAAAACTCTTTGCTATTGAGACAATGTTTTCTGTTATATGACAATCTAAAGAAGTGAATAATACTCAAATAGAATTTCATTCATTTCTTTATCTATTTTCATTAACAAGATATGATTATAATCAAAGCAGTAAAATAGTATAGTTCATCATATAGGCACAATTTTGTTGGAATTGATAGTTGATAATAGGAATAAGAAATGACTGATACGATTGAGCATATTTGAGATTTCTACGGTAGATAATTCTGACAAAAAAAAATGGACGAATTTAATTCAATTCGACTTTTATACAGTGTGTAAAATAATTATGTAGACATTCTGTGATGCATTTCTCGTGAAGGAAATTTCACAATGAAAAAAGAATATTTTTCTGACTTTGACTATATCATTCGATAGACCAAAGTCTCTACTTTATTTCACACAAAAAATATTTCATCTGCAAAAGTCTTTCAAAAAATTTTGAAACATGTTTTGGAAAACTTTTCTAAAAGAAATTTTTTTTGTGTGAAATATAGCAAAAACTTCGGTCTATCGAATGGTATAATCAATGTACGAAAAATATCCTTTCTTCATTGTGAAATTTTCTTCGCAAGAAATGTATCATAGTGTTCGAATAATTATTTTACACATTGTTGATTCTAAAATGTTTTGTCAAATAATCCCAACTCGGAATCCATTAATGCCGTAACATGTTTCCAGTTCAATTTATTAAATTCATCAATTGAAATAAGTTGATCTTTTTTCTGATCTCAATTATTTTCAACAATAAGTTTCATGAGTTTTCTTCTTTTGTCTTATATTCTATCGCTCTATCTATCATCATACTGAAATAAATTTGCCTTTCGATATTTGTTTCTTTCTCCATTGAATTAGACTCGATAAATGAATTTTTCTTATCGTAATAAAAGAAAAATTCACATGGAACAATAGTTTTTGACAAATATTAGATGGATAACTGTCTTTAGAATGAAACAAAGAGTCATTTTTCGTTTAAACTCTTATGAGAGAACATATTTGAGTGCCCCCTCTGAGAAAGGATTTTAAATTGTTTTTCATCTCTCAGTATGCTATAGCTGCTAAGAGCTTTCTCATAATTTTTGTCACTATTATAAAAATTACGAAAGCAAACATTTTTCTCCTGAAATTGAGTTCAAATTGAGCACGATATAATGTAGAAGGCCTTACTGCTTCTCACAAGTAAACGCATCCTAGGTGTATTGCTATTATATATTTGTCTCAGTTACTAGTTGCTGCCATTCACAATAGAGTAAGATTAATCAGAATTTTTATTTAAACAAAGTTATTCAAGGTAAGAGAAAATATATAAACTAAATGTATCAAAAATGTTTATGATCCGCAACAAAGAACTCTATCACACCAACTTCAAGTTATAAAACTTCTTTCATCACACCCACTAACAGAACAAATATCTATGGTGAAAGAAAAGCAAATATCACGAACATTCTGAAACTGTCCAGGTTTTTGTTTGGTGTATCCACAAGAATACACCAAGCGTACTTAATTATTACAGTAAATCGATCAGAAGAAAGTTGATTATGAATCAAAGAGTCTAGTTTTAAAATACTATTTCTTGATCTTAAATCAATATTCAACTGATCAATTGCTACATGATCAAAACATCTTCGATAAAGGTATTTCCATTGTCTAAAGAAATACTTATCACAAGGCTGAATATCAGCTATTATCTTCGGTGGAATCTGCAAAATTTCACATTGAATATTATCATCGAAAGCTTCAAGAATATTTTCAAAATCAGTTTGTTCTGACCATGAATCCAAAAATAAAAGGCAATTTTCTTGAACAGATGGTAGTAAAACTTGTTGTGTCCAATATTTAATGTAAGATTTCGTCAGTTTTTCCGATTTATTACAGATTACATGAATATTTTGTACTTTATAAAGCGTCTGTAACACTCCTGGGACATAATCTTCTAGATTTTTCTTGTAAGCAGACAAGCACTGGGCCTACAATTCTACTATCCATACTTAAAATAGGCATGATTATGTGTGAATGTGTAGCCGCATTCTGCGAAGATAGACGAGCCAAAGTTATTTTCTCACCCGAAATTGAAAGGGTGCGTGTCGAAGGTACCTCATATTCGAAAGCACTTTGGTCAGAGTTGAGAACATGTGTAGATTTAAATCGGAAAATAGCTTGTTTGGCCTTATCAAGAAATATCTTCTTATCATTAAGAATTTTTTCTCGATCATCCATATAGTTTTTAGTGACAAATTTAGTAACGTTTCTTGATGTGATATGGTGACGACGTTTGAAATTAAGCAACCAAAAAGAAGATACAACGAAGTTCAGTAAGTTCATTCCTCGCTCTTTTCTGATGGCAAATTGTCTCAAATCATGATCATGAATTGGTAGACATTTGCTTTGTGTTTGATTAAATTTACTCGAAACGAAGCGATCAAGTTGTTCTAATTTTTGGCGTTTGATTTTCTGCTGCTTGACATATTTTCTTATTCTTCTTAACTGCTTTTTATCCTTGATCAAACGACACCGCCGTTTGACTGACGAAAACTAACGAGTATCTGCAAATTCTACAATATCACGGATAGTTTGATAAGAATCTGAATGGCTACTAGCTGTATGAGTTTCCTCGTTAATATCTGATTCACTTGTATAAGATTTGTCATCATCGTAATCGTCGATATTTAATGTAATGTCACCTTCAATCATGTCGCATGAAGTTGTCAATAACTGCAACACTAGGAAGAGTTGATCGGCTGTTACATCATCTCGAGGAGATGGTCCATCTTCTTTACAATCGGGATACTTTTCCTCCACTAATTGATTGAATGAACGAACAACATTAGCTATGTTTAACATTTTTCTTCTTTTCAATACTGTTTAATGCACTGAAGCAAACGGTCACTTATGATTTGTTAGTTAAAGAAAGTATTATTATCTTACGTATGCAGATGTTTTTTCTTTTCAATCGTCACATATATATCGGGTGGACAGGTGTGGGTGTAAGTGTGGTTATTTCCTCACCCACACTAACCCACACCCTCAAGTAATCAAGTAAACAGTTTGTTCCTCCTTGGTTCCCACCTTGTGATTTATCAGGCTTTTTTATAGTTTTCTTGGACAAAAGTCACACTTTTTTCTTTTTCGTCATTTTATTGGGTAGAAAAAATTAATTTTTTTTCTCAAGAAGAATGAAAAAGAATATCAGGTCATGTTTTTCTATGGGAGTCAGAACAGATGTAACGGCTTATTTAAACGAGTAGGTGATCATAGAGCTACACAAGTTACACAGTGAAGTAAAAATGAGACTGATTATTCAATTAACTCTTGTGTATTGTATATGTGCAGCAGCGTCTGCTACAGTTCACGAAAGCTACGATGAAATTTATCAACGTGTTGGTCAATATTTGAAAAATAGCCAACAAGCTGGTCGATCTAATCTGTTGACGCTGGAAAATAGTAACACCATCGGACTTGGTTATGATCCACTTCACGGTAGTCCTGTCTGTTATACTGGTGCTTGTCAAATGAGTGGATTTCGTCAACCTGTTTTTAAGTTGAATTATATTCAAATACCAGAAGGGTCCTGCACCTCGAAATTAATACCGGAACATGTTTCACTTCACTGCATCACGTCAACCGAAATTCAAGCTGGAACTGAAGTCATTGATACACTTGATCGGCTTATGAAGACAACTACAAACGGTCTTGAAATTGGAGTTGGTGGTAAATATAAAGCCGCATCTTTTTCCTATAAATATTCGGAGCAAACACGGTATATGATCGATAACATGGTTCAGGGACACTCTGAGATCCTCTACACTACAGCTAAAGTTTCTTATGCCAAGTTATCAATGTTTGAACCATTTCTTAATCTGTCCGAACAATTTCAGTATGTTATTGAATCTCTACCCTGCTGTAATTTGGACGATGACGGCTATATAGAAAAATATATTCATGATTACATCTTCGAATACTTTGGCTATTCCTATGTAACAACACTTATGTTAGGTGGCATTGCATTGCAGAATATATTTATTGACTCGACAAATGTCAGCAGTCTGGAGCTGAAGGGCATTGAAAAAAGTCATGAAGCACAAATTGAATTTTTTGCCTCTTTCAGTATGAAACATACGGAGACAAATGGCGTTGAAAAACACAAGACTTTCATGCAGACTGTCAAAAAGACCTATTCGACTTTTCTTGGTGGAGATCCATCTTTGTCTTCGATTAATGAATGGTCAAAAACTGTGAAAGATCATCCCGTTATCATTAAATTTGGTTTCAAATATATTTTTGATGTTCTCACCAAACGCCGATTTCCTGATGACCCAGAAATTAGTAATAAATCGAAACTGATTGAAGAAGTTCTAAACAAATATATCACGTCACCTACTTATTGTTATAGAAATTGTTCAGGCAATGGGATCTGCATAGACACAGGATATTTTCAGTTTGGAGAATGTCAATGCCATGATGGATGGTCAGGAATCGATTGTTCGTATAGCATACCTACCAGTACAGCGCACTCAAGGCCCCTAATACCAAGCGGAACCTTGTGTGGCATAGGTGGGTGGATAGCGTGCAATGAAAAGTATCCTAGTGGCGGATGTTCGGAGAACCATAATCTGGTTAATGTAAAAGTCGGTGCATTGGATGAACAACACATGTGTTTGAAATCAGAGAGTGATAACAAGGTAATTCAAACGGGCACACTGTGTGGCGTAAAACGAGGTGACCTCTTAATTTTATGTAATGGGCGAAACCCCTATTCAGATGCTTGCCCAAATGGCTACCAACGTTTTGGTCCTGATAAACTTGATGGTTGGTACTGCTATAAAACTAATCCAGAACTCGACGATTTACCAGGAACACTTTGTGGTATCAACTATAAGTATTTTCCCACTGTCAACTCGGCGCTCGCACCGCTCTTTTGTCGTGGTGGCCCCTCTGTTGAACACACGTGTGATGGTTACTATCCAAGCAGAGGCTCATGTCCTCCAAAGTACAGTCTGGCATCTACCACATATTTCGCTAATTTATGTCAATTAACAATCGGCTTCTGCTACATACGCTGAGGGTGAGGGTGTGGGGTGTGTGGGGTGTGGGTGGGTGTGGGTGTGGGTGTGGGTGTGGGAGTGGGTGTGGGTGTGGGTGTGAGTGCGGGTGCGGGTGTGGGTGTGGATGTGGGTGTGGGTGTGGATGTGAATTTTAGTCTTTCTCTTCTCCACACCCATACCCACCCACGCCCCAAACCCCACAACCACATCCACACCCACACCCACACCCACACCCACACCCACATCCACACCCACACCCACACCCTGATTTTTGTTCTTGCATAGCATCATAATATTGTTGTCATAGAATATCGTTTTTTAAATGACAATAATAATGATTAGCACCGATTT